CCCCAAAACCCCAAAACCCCAAAACCCCAAAACCCCAAAACCCCAAAACCCCTTTCCACATATTAAACAATGAAAGAGGTGAAATATATAATATCAAATTAGGAATATGGCTAAAACTATTTCATCAGGAATGAAAGTTATGCTTTTCCACCTCATTTTACTCTCGCTTGTGGGAGTTGTCTTCTCAGCAAATTCTACGGAATCTACTGACCTTAATTCTATCAAAGCTTCCAAAGAAGTATCTGTTTCAGGAGTCTCCTCTGGAGGAGCCATGGCTGGACAGATGATTGTTGCATACTCGAGTAAGATCAAAGGAGCAGGAATTTTTGCAGCTCCTCCTTACTTCTGTACCAAAGGCGCAGCTATCTCAGTGATTGATTGCATGACAACTGGTGTCTCTGTGTTCTCAGACCAGCTCGTGCTAGCTGCTAAAGGATTTGAAAAACTTGGCCAAATTGACAGTCTCTCAAATATGAAGAACAAAAAGATCTATATGTTTTCAGGTAAAAGAGACTCTATTGTCTGGAGTGGAGTAGTTAAGAAAAACGAAGAATTCTTCAGGAAACTTGGGGCAAATATTGAAACTGAGTATAGCCTCTCTGCTGAGCATACTTTCCCAACAGACTTCTTCGGGAATAGCTGTGGAAAGCTAGGAAAACCTTTCATTAATAACTGTGATTTTAAAGGATCTAAGCATGCACTTGAGCATATTGTTGGACAAAGCTTGAACCCAAAGGTGGATTACAAAGAGGAAAACCTCAAGAGCTTTAATCAGAAGAAATACCAAATCGGTTTCAAACATTCATTAGATAATTCAGGAATGATCTATGTGCCAGATGGTTGCAAGAATAAAGCATGCGAACTCCATGTTGCTTTCCACGGTTGTGAACAGACAACTAAAGATATTGGTCTAGACTACGTTTACGGAACAGGTTTCTTAGGTCTCGCCGAAGCCAATGATTTCATTGTATTATTCCCACAAGTCAAGAAGTCTATTTTTGGAGGAAATCCACAAGGATGCTGGGACTGGTGGGGATACAGTGAAACAATCCCTACTCCTCTCCAATGGGTGTTCCCAACCCAGAGTGGAGTGCAGATGAGAGCTATCGACAACATGATATCGGACCTTCAATCTGGAAGCTTTGAATTGCATAGTGAATTTGCTTTCAAAGACATCCCAAAATCTTCTTACTAGTTATCAAAATATAAAAGCTACGGCACAAATATCGATTTTCTTTTAAAGGCTTCTTTTCTATTTAAAAAATGAAAAGAGGGGTTTTGGGGTTTTGGGGTTTTGGGGTTTTGGGG